TGGTGTCTTTACCGGGGTCCAGTAAAATTACCGAGAAAGTCAATAATTTTACCGAGATTTCTCGGTAAAATTACCAATTCCATAAATGGGAATTTTACCAAGAAAAAACTGGGATCAAATAGAACCCTGAATTCTTGGTAATTTTACCCTTTTCTTGGTAAATACACCCAGATTTTTTTCTCAGTGTAGGGAGCGGTTCCTACAGCCAGCTTGAGATGACCGGTGGTTGAAGATAGAGGAAGGTAAAAGAACCTATCACCGATTTTAATTGTTGATGCCGCAAGATGAGACGGCGAAAACTTGGGTCGACTGCGTAACAGCCGCGACAGGCCGAAAACAAAGGGTGACGAGGTGCATTCGCAATCACGTTCCATTTGAGCTTGCAACCGATTGTGAAAGAGATTACACCCACTCATCAGTGATTTCATCGGGTATTTTTTCAACGACCGGATAACAAAGCGAAATCGACGCTGGACAGAGTTGGCGTCAAATCGGCGAGCACTTTCCTATCATGTCGTGCGTTTAAGTCTCCAAGCGTATTCTTCATGAATCAAGGTTTCGGATGGTTTCATAGGTCTACGAAACAAGCAAGAATTGATTATTCGAAAAGCGCGGATTCCAAGGGATTGGATTAATAGAGAATTTGCAGGTGTCTGAAATTTGATGAATCTCGTGTTGAAGTGAGAACTACAGAGTGAACTGAACACGAGGATACCCTTGGTTCATGGATTGAACAATTATTGGAGATGATATGACAAAATGATCGACTTGATCTGCTAAAATACGTGTGTTTACATGGGAGATGCCGCCAGATGACGTCACTAGGCGGTGCATTTTCTCACTTTTAAATCTATTTTTATACTATTTCCCAAAAAAATTAAAAAAAATACTTAGAAATCAGCTATTTAAGCACCTTAAGATGAAGCAATAAAAAATTTGCACGCACATTTTCCGTTGTTTTAGTCTGATGGAGAATTTGCGGGTGTCTGACTTTTGTGGATTTCATATTTGTGATTGAACTTCTTAGAGAATGGAGCACAAGAATATCCTTCGTTTCTATAGCCAAAAGCTTCAACTCCAACAAAGAAAACACACCAAATTTTTCCCCTGACTTGAAGGACCGACACATTCCTCGGAGATTTAAACAAGGTACTTCATCAAACCATCGACGTGAGACCGATTGAGCCAGTGGCGTTAGTGATCGATCATCGATATTTCCCCATTTGGAGCTGTGGAAAGCAATCGCTGATTAAAGTGTTTGTTGCGAGAACCCTATTTATCGATCCTTTTCCATATGTTTAAATGGCACATTAATCGATACATCGCATGCCAATGTTAGGAGCATCTCGAGGAAAACGGACACTCGAGTCACTGAACTCCGGCCAAGCAGCAGGAATCATCGATGCATTTCGATCTACGAATAAGGGCATACATTCCGATCATCTTTTAATTCGGAAGCCGTTGTTGGATTCAGGTGGATAAGGCGCTTATACTCTGAAGCCGTGAAGAATCAGAGAATAACACGAGACCGCTATTTTATTGTCTCCTAAATATGGAAACTGAGTTTGGCATTGCGAACTAAGAGACCTCTGCCACGAAAGAAAAAAGAGCATTTTCCGCGGACCGGAATTAAGGACCCAAACTCATTATCCATTCGATTAAATTTACCCTGAGTAGGTTCTTTCGCTGACGGATAGGCTCTTTTAGAAAATTCCCAATGTTGGTACTTACGACAATTTTGTTGCAATGGACCTATGGACGAGGTTGGAAGTTAAGCATTCTGATTCATGCTTCAAGACCAACATTTCACGTAGAACACGATTCGCGCAGCGAGAATTACTTACTGGAATTAATTCCTTGCCAAGATATCTAATAGTTTTCAGGCAAAATTTCTTGTTCAAAATTTCAAACCCATTTAGAAAGCAAATGAAGGTGATTTGACAAATTTTCCCTATGATATTTCCCGGTACTGACTGTGGCAACCCTGGTTTTACGTGAAGTTCTGGTGAAGAAACATGCAACCATGAAACATGCTTGAATTCGTACCTTGTCTAGTGGTTGGTTGGGTACCCCAAACTCAGCATCCATTCGACTTTCAGGTACGCTAAGTAAATTATTTCGCTAACGGATAGGTTCTTCTTAAAAATACTCAATGTTGATACGACAGTCTCGTTGCTATCCGATTGTGATTTGAGTCAGTCAGGGTGTATCAATCTATCCTTGCAGGTGGCATGAGGCTCCTTCACAAGAGTTCATTCAAACTTTTGAGAACATCCTCGTCGCCTGAAAGAAATGCAAAGGGATCCGCACAGCGCAGTGGTTTGAGAGCTGCCATGCTTAGGAAGACCGCCGTATGAGCCTTAGGCATTGCCAAATCTCCTTCAACAAATTACAAATTAACAGAAAAATTGGAGAATATTTCTCCTCCGATTTTTCAGAGGATTTCGTTCGTACCCTGATCTTTAAAGTCCGAAAATTTATGGGGGAAAATATTCATAAGTTTCTTCACAAATAAACGGTTCCTGGAAAAGAATTTGGCAATATTTGGATGCTCATACCGTGTTTTTACTAAGCACAGTAGAGAGGAGGAGCTTGTTTTCCGCGCTTGACATCGAAACGCGAACGCACAAAGGAAGAATCCAGAATCCGAATCGTGGAAGGAGAAAAGAGGCCAGGTAACTGCGAGAGCCCTCGGGACTCCCTCGATCTGGGAGCCTGTTAACAATGGGTTCACCTCAATAAAATCTCGAAAAAAGGTAATGATTTCGTTGGAACCGTGAAACCTACCACACTGTTCTTCTTTTCTACGGCCGCCCCTCCTCGCGAGGAGTAGACTGAGCGGTCCGTCACTCACAATGATTTTTTAGGGTTCGCTCCCACGATTTTTCACTTGTACCCCGAGCTCATTTCAAGGTGCATTTCGATGCGCGCTAATCAAATACGGCGCTGCGTCTGAGAATCGAAAGTGATGAGAACGAACGAAGTACGAAATATTTACAGAAATGATTGAAGTTGCCGTGAGATATTGAGGTGAATCGCATTTAACAGTACAGGAACCGACGGAATTGATGTTTTAAAAATCGTGCGGCTATATATTTAGGTACCTTTATAAAAAAAAAAAAAAAAAAAAAAAAAAAAAAAAAACCGGAATAGGTAGCAAATAGTTTTTGATTTGCAACGGAAAACTGGTTGATTATAAAGGCAAACAATCGTGTGAATTGTACGTCTAAACTTGCATATTAGTAAAAAGTCAAAATTGGCTGAATTTAGTTAAAATTTGGTCTAAGTATCAGTTAGGTATACGTTTTTTTTACAGCAAAGAAGTTGCGCGATTTTGAAAACTCTGTAATCGCATTGAGTTCCCTTCTGCTGAATGCAATACCTGAGTAATAATTGAACTGAATTTTGCAGTTAGGAGCTATAAATTCTAGCTCATGTTAGAAACAGCATAAGTATGTGCCAGAAGTTACCCTATACAGATGAATGCTTAAATGGAGGAGTCTGAAATTGTAGTTCTCAATTGCAAGATGAAGTCCAATAAAGAGGAGTGCCCCCCCCCCCCCCNCCACATGTGCAATGAACACTTTAAATCTCTGGAAGAGCATGGCAAATCTACTGACTAAGAAATACTATCGGTAGAATGCAAGGCTTCAAAGTTGATTCATATGAAGTGCCCGATAGCAGTGCAAAAAAAGATAAACGTGAACCATTCTTAGGAGCAAACAAGATTTTTTTCCTGGAAAGACTGTTTACACCAACACCTACCTTATTAAGTGCCTTTTAGTATTTAATAAAATGCTTAGTAAAGCATTTGGACTGCGTTCAACAGAAACGAACCAAGCCAAATCAGCTGCTGTCAAATTTAACTGGGCAATTTAATTTTTTTTACAAGAGAACGTTTGTGCGGATTCCTTTGAAAATTTTACAGAATTCTTTTTGTACTATGCAGTGAATTCCCTGTTTGCACAAAAATCCGCACAACCGTTTTCAGGTAAAAGTTAAATTTCCCCATAACTGATATAGTTTGTTTCCTTTCCGCTTAACACAGTCCATTTCATTGGTGAAACAGCAGAGGCGGATACCTCCTTCCAGTTTGCAACATTGCAGATTTCCTGTCATACTCCATTTTTTAAAGTGAAAAATAGGCAACACAATTTCTTAAAACCTTTACAGATTTAATTCTCTGTGCGATAAATTTCAAACAACAGGTTGATTTGTTCTCCTTTGATAAAATAAAATGGACTTGGAAGTTTTGTAATGCCACCAACAAGATTTGCTTTCTGCAGTTTCACTGTCAATTTACTACTTGCTTTACTACACTCCTTTAGATTTATAATATTGTTCCAAAACACCTAAGTACTTTCATGGAATAATACAATTGGGGTTACTTAAGGGTCTGTTGAAAACCAATTGAAAATTGGGTCTATTGGCATTTTCTACGTAAAATCTCCAATGAAAGACCGAAGGATATTGCACCGTCAAAAGCTGCAACTAAGAATTGAGCAGATCTTTTTTATGGGTACCTAGGTAATTTTTTGTTCATTTCAATGAACTATCAGTCCCAGGGGTTCTATCCTGTTATGAGCTTAGAGAATTCTTCTCGGCGCTTTGAGCTACAGAGCTTCTCTATAACATTTGAGGTCTAGAGTGCCTCGGAAAGTTTCAGAGAAAATTCATTCCATTTAGTCTATTATAAACACATCCCTATGTAAGAAAATCTATCAGCAGAGCTGCTCCGCCAATAGCGGGAAATGATTGATGCCTGAACCAAATAGGTACAGTTTCTAAGTTACCATGGAGACAGCATGGTTCATTTAAGAAACCACAAAGTAAGTACTCCATCCCTGATTTCAATCAGCATTTGTGAGCTGGCAAAATCTTAGAGATGAAAAAACAGTGAAATTACAATACAGGATACAACAGCAAAACTGGCAGGCCTTGCAACAGGTAGATTGACTTTCATAATCAGAGAGGAGCAAAAGATCGAAAAGTGTACTCACCAGCTAATGTAACAGGAACTAAAAATAACAGCACAACGTGTAAACAAACAAAACTAAGCAGCCTTAAAAAACCCGAGTTGGATAACGAAGAATAGGGATTCAAAACTGATCTTTCTTTTTCTTCCATTTTGTAAAAATAATTAAGGAATAACTTGTCAGCAGCCCTCATAAGTAATAGTTTGGGTAAATATTTTTTGACACTGGAATTATAAAGGCTTCGGCCATTAAACTAAATACACTAGAACAAAAATCTGTATTAAGCTGGCTGCTACATTCATCGTTCTGAGCACTCTAAAATCATGAAATGCCATGATCTACATCAATTTTCTCCGGAACCAAACACACTTTCCGTGGAATAAAACACCAAATACATCCGTAAGCCGAAAAACATAACTGAACACTATTGCACTTGACGTTAGCACGATAATTTTCAATAATCACAATTCAAGCTATCAATTAAAATATTTAATTCGACAAAATAATCAAAACATTAAATGCACACATTCCAGGAATCACGCACATGGACTCACCCTCGACCGTTCATTCCCGTGACTGGTTCAAAAACCGTTATTCTCCTGGCTGCTCGTGTTTACTGCCAAGATTGCCACCCATGCAACTCTTTCACTAAAGACGCGAGGAATGTTTGATCCAAAAACCTGTCGAAATTTCCCATTTAATAGATTGAATCTTACAGATTTACGATGAATTATTCTTTGAAACGAATTAATCAAGATAAATAGTGCGTCAGAAATAAATATTCTTTCAGTTACAAGTTGGAAAACACGGAGGGGGGTGAAGCTTAGTTTGATTTTGTTGTGCTACACACATGTACGTCGGTGACTAGAATAAGCTGTTTGAATTAACGGCGCGAAAACATGGGAGCAGCTTCAGGTATTGCTCAGTGTTAATCAGAAATCAGAGTCAACCAAAAACTAAAATGAGACTGTTGTACAGACGCCTCATAATATGAATTCTGAAAAATTCATTACTAGTCTATCGCTAAATTCAAGCGGCCATACTAATTATTTTTGAATGATGCATAAGTTCCATGCATAATGCCTAAATCCAGTGGGAATTACGATCGATTTTACTTCATTTCCTTAACTAGTACTAAATTTAGGGGGTGGATATCATGATGAGGTAGAGAGAAAAAATTGAGCTTTACCAATATCATTGGTATTTTCATGATACAAACTCAATAACATGGGTGCAACTTTGGTGCCAATGCAAATGAAAGATGTACCTAAGTAACTTAGCTCCCGAGTTAACTCCTCCATGCGCATAAGTGCAGCTCCTCTATCCTCTTGCAATTAAAGATTTTACTGGTAGGTATGTTATCAAGGATTTTTACAAACATAATTTTTATGAATTTCATTGGATGCCATTGTTATGAGAGAGCCATTGTTCTACCTCTTCGATGTATATTTTTACATACTAGAAAAATGTACAGAACATTTTTTTCAGTAGGTATGTACTTACTGAAAAAAATTTCAGGGCGTTCTCTGATTTTAGACTTATTTAAACATGAAATATTTTTGAAAGTACCTCCAGGTCTGTGATGCACAGTAGGTACACTCAGAGGTTCATAATTAAAGAAAGTGAGATGGAGTGTTGAAAAATTTTGGTCTATGGAGCATGTACCATGTAATAATCATAGGTGTTATGAATCAAAAGTTTTTCACTACAGAGGGAAAAAGTCATCGAGCGCAACTTCCTCTAGGATAAGTTTCGTTAGAGGTGACACACAGCACGACCTATCAGAAAAACAAGTGAATCTTATCACCACTCAATGCAGCCACCTCAGTTGTTAAATGCTTAGCTGCACTTATATGCACCTTAGCTGTCAAACTTTGAATTTATAAATCTACATTTTATGAAAACATTAGTTAAAAATGAAAGCTAACTCTTAAATCCTACATCAAATTTAAAAAAATAGAAGTTAATTTTAAACTTTGGCCCTCTGTATTCACTAGAACAGGAGAAAGAGGGCTCAACTAGTGTTGAAACTATTATGGATGGTCTCTATGATCTGTCCGGTTATCATCTGCTTTCTTCCTTAATATTTTATGGGTTTTTTTTTTACTTCAGCATTGGTGAGAATTGGACACAATCTACTTTAAGCATATTTTCAGAATTCTTTCTGAATAAGAAATCAAGGTGGTTCAAAAGAAATTCTAAGAATGGTTCAATTGTGGATGGATAAATCTGCTATTCTGGACATTCTTAAAATATTCCAAACGCCACAACACGGTTATACTGTCAGGTATCTTAACACAAGATTTGACCAAAGAACTTCTTGACCCAACTCCAAAAGCGTGTCCCGAGTAAATATTGCAAATGGAAGGGCAAAGCAATTGTTACTTTGGATGTATTTCACTGAGGTTACTTCGGATGTATTTCACTGAGGTTACTTCAGGATGTTTATCAAATCTTGTGTTTACCTGATGAACTACAACATGACTTGACATTCAGGGATTTTTTTTTTAAAAAAAGTACTTAGAACTGGAGAACACCTAAATTGATTTAACTATCAAATCGTCCTACGTGCTGAAGACCCGCTTGAGATTGATAATTCATCTTTTGGTTATACAGTTTAAGAATACAATGAAACCTTACTCTCACCCTAGAGCTGCGAGGCCTCTCTTTGAGGAGCAATAAGAATTTGTTCATTCCTGAATATTTTGGCTCTAATAAAATTTTGACTTGCAACTAAGAAGTAGGTTGCGAGAAGGGCGTTTCTCTGTTGTAGTCTTTCAGAATTTCTGTCGCTAATGTTTAAGGAAAGAAACTAGCGGTAATTTTTCCAGCATTTTCGCTATGGAAACTTGAGAATCCTGAGATGCATTCTTTTCCCTGACATTGAGTGAAATATTAGTATGGATTCTGAGGCACCACAACCAAGAGATGCTCTTCTTGCACCCAGCTCCTCAATCGGTTGCTGGGTTTGAATTGATTCAACACCAAATTTAGATTTTCCGTTAAAAACTTTTTGTTGTATATTTAAAAATTGTACAAAATAGTTAAAATTACAAGCATGTCAAGAAGTCATTAAAAGAAAAAGCCTAGGATTTTGCCTCCAAGATGTTTCCTTCGAGCTTCTTCATGATCCATTATTCCTCCACTAGTTGTTAGAACAATGTATCTGCAAAAAATTTAAAAACATCAGTGAGTAAATCAGCAATGTTCTTAAAAGTTGACAAGCCATTAGGTCATTTCATACATATGATTCATGCAGCCTCAAGATTATAAAATCAAGAACTTCTCGGAACCTTTTTCAGAATTTTTAATTTTTCTTTAAGCACACTTTTTTTTCTGTGCCAGGATCCTTAATTGTGAGAATTTTGTACACTCTTTTTTTCCCCCATAGTTTAGCAATTATGAAGGCTTTAAACAATTGCCCAAGAGGAGTATGGCACTGTCACTTTGTTGTGGCAAAGAGTTTGAACGAGAAATTTTTAGGTCTCTTTAAAGGTAGATTGCAATCTCTTTCCAAACTATTTATTAAATGTCAAGTACACCGTTACTTTTTAACAACAGGCATTTACTGCTGACAACTATGTAAGAATAAGATTTAGACACTTTCCAAGCACTTCCAATGCCTTGAAAAAAAATTTCAGAAGCCAGCACCTTCTAACCATTTTTCAAGACTACACAAACCATGATACGGTTGTGGATATTCTGTTTTGCAGGAAATAAATTAGCAGCAACCATTCCTAATGGGATTATTTTCTACCTTCAGTAAAGGATCAGATAAATTCCCATTGACTGAATATCACATACATTAATCCATACGTATCAACATGAAAACCTTTCCCTCTCTTATTTTGAGCATTTCAACCCTTAGATAAAGAAGATTAAACTCATTCAAGGCAGTAGTCCAGATCCACCAAGCATAGACATGACTGGTTAGGTCTTGCATTCGAAACTGGGAGTGGACAAATGGATGAGGTATGAATGCAAGCATTCTGTTAAGTGTTTTTACTTCAAAATTTCATGTAGAACATGATTTGTGCGACAACAGGTACTGGCTAAAACATTCAGCCAAGATATCCACGTTTTTCTTTAGCTTTGATTACAAAACACTTGAATAATGCAGTATATATTCGTACTAAATGAATCGACGTATGCGAAAACGTCCAATGTCCAAGACAGTGTTTCAGAATTTTAGTGGACAATTTTGTTATAACTTAACGACACAAGGTGGTTGAAGACGTTAGGAATGTAGAACAATTTTATAAATAATCCCCTAAGTGTAATTAAACGTTTACAAAAGAGATCGATCCTATTCATCAGTGTCATGGGACAGAAGAAACCCACCACAATTATGAAACCCTGTAATGGATAATGGACGTTTTCGCATACGTCGATTCAACTGTAAGCAAAATTAGCCAGGTGTGCAGAAAATTCCAAGCTTTTCCCTAGTTTTAGTCAAGATTCATAATTGGATGTAATTCTGCCGAACGGAACTATGTGCATTAAGGTATGAGCCCTGCGATCCATGCAATGTTATGCATAAAAGGGCTCACATCATAATGCACATAGTTCCATTTGGCAGAGATATGTCTAATTGCTTCTTTCTGAAGGCTGAAAAAGACTTTACAACGAAACAGTCGGTCTTTTTCAAGGCTCAAGCGCCGTATTTTGCCTGAAGTTCCCCACAATGACCCAGTTTCATGGGCATTCCCCAGTTTTTCCGATTCTTGGAGAGTTTCTTCCATTTCACGCAACAGGTACTCTACCGTGCTAAGGAAAAATTCTGTATGAGCATTTGAGAGTTGCTAAATTTCCTTCGATAAAATGTTTATTTATGAGAAAAGTTATGAATATTTCTCCTTTAAATTTTCAGAATCTTTAGGTGAGATGGCAAACTAAATTATCTGAAAAATGGGGAGGAAAATATTCATAAATTTACCAGAAAATTTGCGTTTTATCAAAGGAATTTTGGCAACGCCTAAAGGTTTATACAGCATTTTTCCTGAGCGCGGCAGTACTTGACTGGACCGCTAATGTGGTTTGGAATGAACTAAATGACAATTTTTTCATAAAAAAAAACCAAAATGGCAAACTTACCCAAACTGTCTTGATGGTAGAAGGGCATTGCATTTGTTTTCAAACTGATTAACAGGGAGATCAAAACGGGGTGAAATCACTCCACATTTGTTTATCCTACCAGTTAGATTAACAACTACTTTGCCAGCTCGGTGGTCATCAACTATTTCGAATTCTCCTATGTAGCCTGAAAAAGGTTAATTAAATTTTATTATAAATTAAGAGTTTTGATTGAGTTAATTTTTGACTGAAATACAGCTGACTTAATAAACGTTATTTAACTCGTTCAGACAATATGTCAAGCTTGATATTCCCTGGAGTATTTCTGCATCATTTCAAGTAAACGAAAATTTTTCTTTCAGTGCGAAGGTGTTAGTACCATACTGCACTTTAGTGCAACAACAGGGTCTCCCGTGTAAGACATTGGCTCTGAAAATCGTTGTAGGCACACTTTCATTCAATGTAAACACTCCATAGGAATTACGAACTTTTTTTTTTATTTCTTCCTCAATGGAGACACTGCACAAGAAAATTCTTTGGCTTTAGATAAAAGTGCTTGATAAGCTGCGTTTAGAGTATTTTTTTTAAAAATGTTTCAAATACAGGATATAGAAGAAAAGTAGATCTAAAAGTAACAAAGTTCACCGCCTTGACATCATGTGGTGGTATTTCTGATTTATACATGTCAGTGCTCCAGAGTCAAAAGATACCTAACTCCATTTTAGTCTTTTCGAGATATCAGGGGAAAACCACACATCCGCCTCATTGATTCCCATGTAAATCACAAGTTTTGAAACTCCGTATCTCATAACCGGCGTAAGATAAGACTACCAAATTTTCCACACACGGAACGGTTGAACAAGATTATCAAAACGCCACTAACTCAATTTTTCCAAAAATGAGAGTTACATTAGGTGGTTGTGGCTCTGGAGTACAAATATGTATTTTAGCAGATAGGATCATTATGTCATAAACCTTAATTGCCCAGTTTATAGCCGAGGATATTCTTGTTCTCAGTTTAATCAGTAGTTTATATTTAAAAACAGAATTCATCAAACTTCGACAAATTCTCCATTATGTGAATAAAAATTGACGCTGATGAGAACAGATAGTTAAATAATAATAAATAATATATACACTATCTTTAAAAGATAGAAAACCATTGCTCTTGAAGTTTGCATCAAACTCAGTGGCAATGTCAGGGAATAAACCCCTGTTTCAAGCAAGTCGCTCCATTAGAAAATATTGCGGAGGCGTAAGACTGAAATTGCAGCGCTGACTTCTTCATCAGAGCGAGGGTGTAGGAAAATGTAACTCAGAAAGCTGTCACCCACTTTGCTCTACTCAGGTGCTGGACCTATTTTATTGTAATTTGATATTGTGGAAGAATTGGCACTGATTCTAGTAAAAAACTAGATCATGTTCTTGAAAAAAAAATCGTACCAATTTACGAGGAGATAGTTTACTTTGTTTCAAGTGATAGTTGAGTAAAATGAGTACTTGAATAGTTATGACTACAATGATTACTGAAATAAATGGTTTTATTTGAACTGTGCCTTTTTTTTTGTGTGAAAATAAGATATATTTTTTAATTGTATGATTAGGCTTGTCGTATTCTTGGCGCTTTGAGTTTCACACAAGAAATAGCATTACACCTGAAAATCATAGGACAACTATGGCTCAATTATAATAAAACTTACCATGCTTCATCATGACTGTGAGAAACCTGATGATGACCTTAGAGCAAGGCCTGATTAAAACCTGACGTTTTCCTCTCTTCTCTGCATTGTTTATGCATTTGAGGGCATCAGCTAAAACACTCATACGCACCATTATGACTGAAAACAAACAGGGTAACGTTAGAAACAGCCAGAGACCCACACCTTTAGAGGGAGACAGTTTTACAAAAAAATATTGAAGCAGTTTTCAAAAAAAATAAAGTAACATTCATTCACTAACGAAGTGTGGTTTACTTGGTAAATAGTTACATCTGCTTCAATGTTCATAGTTACACTTCCTTAAGGAGAGAAATTTTGGGGTCTCCTTATACTCAGTTCATGTTACCATATCTGACTATATCGACGGTGTAAGTCGGCAATCTCATAGCTCGGTTTGAGACATCGCAGGCTTCCTGTCATACTTTATTTTTTAAACGGAAAAAAACTCAACGGCAATTCTTTAAAACTGCAGTAATTCTTCTTCTCTGTGCGAAGTAAATCCTACAACAACTTCAAGGAATGATGTCAATTTGAACTCCTTTAAAAAAATAACATAGAAGCTGAGATTTTCAGAAACCGCAAACAAGATATGTGATTGCAGACTTACGCTGTCGATATGCATTAAAACCTTCAGAACTTCGAAACATTGGCGAATTATCCACAGAATTTTCCAGAATAGGTAAACTTCACAAATGAGGCAGAGCCCTGATCAGAAACCATGTACACCGCCATTAATGAGAATCATTATGAATTCTAGCTTGTTTCACAGGTAATGAACCTTTTCAGACAGGAACAACCTAGTTCGTCACAGGGGTGCAGAGAATGCCTGGTTGCTGCCTCCAGGAAATTGAGGAATTGCAAATACAAGTGCTCAAGAAAGAACAGGAACAAAATCCTTCTTTGAATAAAACTTATTTACTTTTTGTGAAGTTTTGTGTCTCTGAACGTCAACATTATCTCGCTTTGACACATCATCATTCTCACTGATTCCATTGAGATTCACTCCTACCCAACACATGAACGGTTCTTAGACATTTGGTCGGCAATGCAAAATTAACTCCTGTATAAAACTGAACAAAGCTAGCCTCTAGGAAGCTCGTAATCATTTATTCTGCCGAGATTATGGATTCAGATATTAGAGGGAAATTGTCTTACATATTTAGCAGGACTGCTCGGCAAAATTTCACAAAATCACATTTTAGGAAGTACTTCTTTCTAAAATGCAACGCATATGGAATCTTTCATAAGCCGTTGACACCCTAAGAAATTTTCACTCTCTCATAAGTGATGAAATCTCACGAGCTCGAGAATCAATCATATTTGAGATAAGATTCTCGCAAGGGAAAACTTGCTTCTTCCTATGTCAACACAAGCGCACGAACAGACTTCATAATCCATCCAGACAAATAGGTAAAGTTTGCCCTTGGACATCACAAAAAGACGTGAGAGATACTAGCAAGCTAAGTAATTGCTTCTGGAACTTAAGCTTGGATGAAACGTTTAATTTAATGGTAAAAACTTGCAAAACTTTACAGGCTGTCATGAGTTTGACAGGAGGACGGGGCATGTTTGTAGCCTCACTGATTCAGCAGACTACAGTCACTGCTGGCGAGGGATGATTAGTAAAATGATATATAAGAATGTAAGGACCTACATTAGACATAATTCAGATTAAATTTGGAGGAAAAATTGAAATTAATTACCTGATGAGGAGATGACAGCTCATAACCTACAAAAATTCCGCGTGAAAGAGGCTTTGCAGCGTGGCCAAGTGGAATAAGAATTGAATAAAATCTCAAGTTCTAACAATCGCCGCCACAGCGCTAACTACCGAACACGTCGATCCACACACACTTTCCCTCATTCCCAATGCCCTTCATATGGTATGGAGCTACTAACTAATAAAGGACCTATTTTTGCCACAATACCTTATTATTCCTTTTCTTCTCAAAATTATTCATATGAAAAATGAGAACCACAACCAGGAGGCCACTTTCCTTTTACCGTCGACCGAAAAAAACCTCTATCAGATCGGCCATTCGTTCGATTGATTTCCGCCGGAACCTCAAAGTTAAACTCCTAATAGAAAAATTTTAAACATACCGTCTTCCTGAAAATTTTTCTTGGCTCCCATATAGCATACCTAAGAATTAGAAAAAATGGATATCCTGATGTAGAAAACTTTTCCTCCCCCGGAAAAGCCTTAATCAGATCGGCCCTTCCTTTCCTGGGTTCCCGCCGGAACCCCATTTTTAGTCGGACCGTAGAAAAAATTTGAAACATACAATTTTCCTGAAACTTCTTCTAGGCTCCCACAGCAAACCTAGGTGTAGGAAAAATTGAAAATTGTGCTTTAGAAAACGATTCCTCCCCCGTAAAAGCCACAATCAAATCGGCCCTTCCTTTCCTTGATTCCCACCTGACACCAGGTCTAAGAGTTCCAACCTTGCAGTTCCATTGTTGTGAAATATACGGAAAAATTATGAAAGAACATACGCAAATCGACGGCGTAAGTCCACAACCACGTATCTCGTTTGCGGCGTTTGAAAATTTCCGCTCCTATTTTATTTTTTTAAAGGAGAATAAATCGACATTATTCCTTGAAGTTTTCGCAAAATTTTCTTGGCACTGAGAAGAAAGGTCACGGCAGTTTTTAAGAATTACCGTTGAGTAGTATATTCATTTAAAAAATATGGTATGACAGGAAGTTTGCGACGTCGCAAACCGAGATACGTGGTTGCGGACTCACATCGTCGAAATGTAGTTTAATAATTTTAGCTTCCGCAGCCCGGCAGCCGTCTTGCCGACCGCACCGTTCGGCGCAATGCGTGAAGTATTCCTTCAGTCTTGTAGGCGCTAATGTGCGTTCCCGCATAGATTGCCGATCGCATTATGTTTGGTGCAATGCGTAAAGTATTATTACAGTCTTGTAGGCGCTTATGCGCGTTCCATGCCGACTCGACGCGACAGCCGCGCCGAGGGATTCTATTTTTCATAGTATGTCCTCGTCATCATTGTTCTCTGCGCCGCGCCGTATCGCGCCGCTCCAGGCTAGGTACTCTACTCCAGACCAAATTGCGTGTTTGGTTTCTCTCTCAACTCGAATAATTAAAAGCGCTGTCTCTTGTGTCACCCAAAGACGACAAAATCAGAAATTCCTGGATATTTACTCTCAGGAAATGAAAGATGTTGTCGCCTTTGCTCGTTCGTAATTTTTTTTCTGAATCCAATTTTTTTTTTATACCTATACATTTAAAAAAATCGCAAAATTTACCGCCATGAGCCGCGGCCCATGTTACCGGCCCCATTTTACCTAATTTCTTTTATTTCTTTCAACATTTTTTAATGTGTTTGCCAGACTCACCAACCGTCTTCACATGGAGAGGAAAAATCACTGAACTTTTCAAGAAATGATGTTTAGTAGTTTTGAGAATGCAGGACTCCGCAAATCAAGATACGCAATTCTGCAGTTTCAACATCAATAGGTAGAGGGAAAAAATTACTGCAGAGATAACTCTCTACAAATGATATATTAGTATAGTATATATAATAATAGTAATCTTCCTGTGGCAGTTAATCTAGTAGTTTATTTAAATGGAACATAGGGAAAGGATGGCAGGGATTGCATCGCTATAATTTTGAAAAAAGCAAAGTATGTATATTGGCCAAAATGCTACGAATAAAAAATCTGTCTGACGTACATTGTATTAATACCAGAAATAAAAATAAGTTTCTATTGCCAACAAACAACACCTACGTAATGCAAGGTTTAAAATGTTTCAATGCTCTGCCATCTACCATTACAGATATTACTGATGCCTAGAGTTTCTCTAGAAAAATAAAGAATCATTTAAAAGAGAAGACATATTACTCAATTAATGAGCTGACCGACTAGTGATTTGTTGACTAAAGAATTTGCTGTAACTCTCATAATTTGTTTATTTACTTGTTCACTATTGACGCATTTGTTTGCCAATTTCAGCATGTTTGACAAATAAAGGTTATAATTATTATTTGATATCTCCTTCCATTGTGCAGTTTATGAACAGCTTTGATGTTTGACTCAGACAAACAGTTACCTCCTCAGACAATGCTTTTTCCACAGAATGAAGGGCTAAGAATAAGGAACACTTTTGGTGGATACTGAAGATGTTGTTAAGAGTTTATTCTGCAGTTATTTCTTTTGTGTTTACAACAAATGACAATCAACATCGTATACAGCACGGAGTAACAACCTGCGATTCAATCTCCAAGAAACATTCTGTAATACGGTTTTGTGAAATGAAGTTTTGACTATTTGAGGCTTCGCATTTATACTATTTAGAAAGGACCTCCTCTGAACTGGACATGATCATACAGATGGGCCTACATACACTGAAGGATTTAAGAAAACACTTACTTGGTAAACCATTCTATCAGACAGGATATTATTTTTCTAAATACTAGTTATAGGATGGATCCGTTCTGTTTCATTTTATTATGGACTTTTTTCACCTACAAACTAATGACAATGCAATCTGGATCGACGTTTATCACAGACTCCATATGAAGTCATTTCACTGACGAATGAAAACATTCTTCTTCAGTTGATGTCATACTCAGAATGAATCTTGGGACCACAATCTGATTTAGTAACTCCTTATTATGAGCGGTAAATTCGTTTAACAAACTTCTTATTTTCAAAGGATTTTTTTTATTAAAACTTATCAAAATTGGTAATGCAGGACAAATTTCTAGAATGAAATAAATCCGCTTTTTTCTTAATGGATGAAAATAAATTAAGTATGTACAAATGTTCTATTCCTCCTTATTCTAATTAGTGGTAATTCTATAGATACAAAGTTAAAAATTATTTAGCACCTTTCCAGAAGTAACAAACATTTCTAAAAAGTATCAGTAAAGTACAATAAATAAATCTCAACGTTCATGGGGCAAACAAAACAAAAAACAAAGGAATGATTGAAAATCAGCGATAATCATCAAGACGATGGGACTTATGACATAAAATAACACTTTACGTTAGTTATCAATGACTCTACTTGGAGCATGCTTTTCGACCGATCAAAATGTGTTTTCAGTTTTAGCTTGATCAAAATCTATTCTTCTTTGAACATCAAACTCTAAGTTCACAAAAAAATTCACCACTTTTTTGCAGTCCAAATAGTAAGTACAGAGAATGTTTTATGGGGGAGATTCAAAGAATTCATCAAACACATTAATATTGTTAATAATTACGATTCATGTAGCAATATTTTGAGCAGACTGTTCTTCGCATCAAGCAGAGGTGCAGAAAATTCCGATCCTTCTCCAGATTTCAATTGGCCTTCCTCCATTTTCAACCAAAATTTATGGTTGCTTCACCTTGAAGACAAGAAAAAGTTTTTACTAAAAAAAAAAAAAATTGTACTTCTCCGTCGCTAAAATGTAATTTGTTGAAAAATCTGACAGCATTCCCCCTTTTTATCTTGTTTTCACAAGGGCTTCCCCAATATTCCTCATTTTAACAAGGAATTGCCTGTTTTTCCCCATGCTTGCGGGGGGTTTCCCCCACTAAAGCAGTCTAGTTGCATATTGATCGCTTGGTCAGAATGTTTCTACACCCCTGGCATCGATCACGGTTACAAAAGAGAAGTTTTTACATAAATATATAAATTTCTAGAATTATTTTGGCATTTAAGGTCAGTTACTGTATTAATAATAAAATAAAAAAAAAATATCTTGAATAGATTATATTACTCTGGAGGTTTTTTGTGTGCACTCCATCCATGGAAGCATTTGGTAAATCTTCTAGATTCCTTATTTTTCAGGGTCAAAAATAATTTCCTTGGTTTGTCTGGTTGCTTTGCTCTCATGTGTTGAATATAGACCTGAAAAAATATCGAGAGAGAAAAATATCAGAAGAGGCTAATAAATTTTGCACCTATGAACAAAAACATCAAGGTTTGAAGAAAAAAAAAGAGGAAAAAAAAGGAAAATGTGAACTGAGGATTAGCGAACACTGGAGCAGCCCTTCTCTACTACTGCTTTTTGGGAAAACAATGTGACTGCATTAAAAGTAGAGTTTCCAAGGAGCCACAATTTTCTTTAATATTAGTCATAAAGCTAATTTAGAGTCTGGCGAATGAAAAAGCGGGAGTTCTAACATCCTAATCAGGACAAGGTGAGAAATTAAAATTGCTCCCTCATGGCAAATTTTGGATTTTGCCTCACTTTTGACACTCAAGAACTCTCCAATTCCCAGCCTGTCTTTCATGAAGTTATTATTTTGCATCATATCTCAAGATTTCCTTCAAGTTCATCATTATCAGTGCATTGAGAGATCAGGCATTTTTTGCACCACTAGAATCAACTTTCCACTAACAAGAAACAATTTTGAACAAATACAACCACAGGTAACAAGGCTAGAAAAAAACAGATGAACTGAGACGTTATGGCTGGAAACACCACAGCGCCTTCAGTTGGATGAAATGTAATAAACATTTTTTATAAGAGGGCTGTGGTGTTTCCAGCTAAAACGTCTTGGTTTGTCTGTTTTTTTCTAGCCTTGTTACCCGCGGTTGTTTTCGTTTAAATTTGTGTCTAACACCTCATTGCAAGGGATCTTGTTCAGTCTTCGTTGGTCCTCACTGTGGAAAAAAGAAGAACGAAAAACATAGTGTACTAAGCCCCTGTTCTGCATTCATCTGTATTTTTTTGTCTTTCGACAGTGAGGATATGAACTTACCTGAGCTGATTTGTATGCAAGTTTTATTTCTACTTCACTGCAACGAGCACCCAGCCACAGGAACACTTGGTCTCCATTATCCAATACCATAATATCATCATCAGCCAAGTCATCCTGAAAATTTAAAAAATTACATAATGAATGATCTCAGCTACGTTACACCTTAATTAAACTTTTCTCCAGCCTCACTACTGTAAAAAAAAAAAAAGTAAAATACTTTGCTCATCTCATAATTTTTTTTTCTTTATTCGTGGTATGAATATTGGCATTCTCTACAATATGAGGTTAGACATGGAGCAAACCAGACGACCTTGGCCCTGGCCGCCGGTTTTAGAGTATTGACTCCTGCTTTAGATGGAATCTCAAATAACTCATTAAGAATGTTATGATACATTGTGCCCAATTCAAATACATACAACCTGCCCAAGTTTGTCAAAGTTTTCTGCTGAAGCATGTTTTTTTCTAGCGCTTTTTTTCAGCCCATGCATTTTACGCTGCCCAAGACTCTCATGATTCACATCCCCTAACACCAGACTGCTATACATTTTTGTTTAATAGATTTCATTCATTTTGTTTTAACTACTTGGTGGCTTCTCATTGACATGCAAAGGGATTGGCGATAAAGCAAGCTGTAGTAAAGTAACCAACTGAGACTGTGCTGTGATCACGCGACTCTCCTTTAAGAGGATGGAAGCTGGCTGCTATCTGGCACCAAATGGCGAAGATTTAAATTGTTACTTTGTCCCCTTCATTTGCGTACCTCCTTTACTTCTCCTGTATCCTTTCATCATTATTTCTGCCTCTCCATTTCTTTCATTGCTAAGATTTAATGAATACTTACAATATTTTTCATTTACACTAGACATTAATTCAACCAGTTTTACATGCATAGTTCTTATCTCTCTACCAAAAATCTTAGGGCACACTTTGGAGGTTTCTCCATTGATATTGATATCACTCCACTTAATCATGTTGTTGATTTCACTAGTAGAGCTTAAGAAATTTATGTAACAAAACTTATAGAGGTCAGCAGCTGTTTTGACCTTATAATGCAGCTACAAGCTTGTGAAAAACCATCGGCAAGAAAAGTATTCCTGCTCAACTTCGATGACAGGGCACAAATAAGTCTCCTTTTGCCCCAAGGCTATGTAAATTAGGGGACACTGAGGTTGCCTCCCCAAAGATTGCGTTCATTGGCGAGGCATAAATGATCGATTATCGATATTTCTCCATTTGAAGCTATGGTAAAGAATCGATTATTATGGTGTTCGCTGCGAACACCCTGTCTATCAGTCCTTTTCCATAGGTTTAAATGGCAAATCAATTGATATATTGCAAAGCACGCCACGCCACTGATTGCGTTCACCCCACAAACTACCAAAGGAGTTCATGGAGATCAGGCGTTCCCTGGGCAACAACTAATGGTCCCTTAGTGCTATCGGATATGGAGGAAGGAGAAGAAAAAATCTTACCTGGCAAAAATCAGAGCATTTCTCAGAGACTGTAAAATATCCTTTTTCATTTGAGCAACGGAATAATCGCGAATACTGCATAAAATCGGCATCAGTGTCATATGGTTTCTTTCCTCCTAGACCGACCCAGAAAAAGTTTTCTGGCTCTTCTCCTTCATTTAAGACCTGCATCGTGATCCAAGGCTAAATAAAAAAAGAGACAAATAAATTTTTCTGATATCAGTCAATGATGCCAATTACAAAAATAAGAGCCTGGTAGGTAATGGCTAACCTCAGGTCAATCTTCAAACAGTCAGCCAATAATAAGGGCATATTAAGCTTGTCATGTCTAGAGTCCTTTTATACTGAAAGTAAAGACAATCCATGGCAAATCCATTTCTGATTGGTTCCTGTATTTTTGGCCTTCACAAAGTCACAATCAGGAATAAAGATTACATCTTCATCAATTGCAAAGATTATAAACTGGAATGGACCGGGAAATTGTTGGTAGGGCAAGGAACTAATGGAATACGAGAGGGGACGGAGATAGGAATTCAAGAATGGGTTGATTGAAGATTACAAAAAACGTCCGATTTGTGTAATTTTTATTCCCCTTTGTGACATCCATAAGCCGCGTTGTCTCAACTCTCTCTATAAAGGGACTCTAGTCATGACAAGAACCAAGAGTGTCCTTTAAAAACTTAGGGGGGGGGGAGGAAGGGAGGATTTAAAAATTGTTGAGAAGACACATAATTTGCATGAGAGTGGGGCCATGAAAATCTTGTAAACTACCATCAAATTGAACAAATTTGTCTCATTAACAAAGTTCATGGGGAATTGCCTTTCTGTGTTCTTCCTAATTGAAGTACAGAAAAATAACTACCAGACAGGCAAAAGTTGGCAAACTTTGCTCTAATTCTTGAAATCTCTATAGCTCCTGCTTGGCCTATGGCTCAACGTTTACCAGCCATGACGGTTCCAAATCTTGTTCACTTTCTCTTGGCAGCACTCACTATACGTGCTGCTTTAAATATTTCACGGAAACGGTTCCAAGCTCGCTTAAAAAAGTAACCTTGAATGATATGTAAGGAAACACTGACAGTTACCTTTCTAGTTAGTTATTTTTCTATGATTAGGGCTCCTAATGGGAATGACAAAAGTGGTAATTTTTGAAAGATCTCAATTGAACTTAATAAGTTAACAATGATTTAATCACAATTTTGACACAAGCAGAAGTTTTTCTTTCAAAGCTGGCCGTTAGCGAAATCACATAAACCGATTTGTATTGATGCAAAGGCACCTCCGCAGTCCTAGATTTAAAATGTGAAGGTGACAGATATGTGAAAAAACTTGAATTTCAATCTGGTAGATAAATCCTCACAGTTAAATGAGATTCGATTACCATTTAAAGATAATGGGAATATTATGATATCACAGTTCAATTCCTTGGAATTATTTTTATATGAACTTACATTATTAAACATTTCATTGGCAATTTCTTCAGCCAGTTTTATATCCTCAACATCTGCTTTTGAACCAATCCAAAGATAAACAATTCCAGATGATTCTTCATGATCAAAGGGCACTTTAAGAATGTAACTGTGGAGAAAAAAACAGTGAAATACACTTTTTAGATGAATCAAGGTTGCAAATGAGTATACTGAGATAAAAGCAGAGCAGTTTCTTTGTAAAAGTAAAATTGCCTTCAAAGTTTTCAACCGGCTTGAAAGGTTCATAAGAAGTAATGCTCTTGGACTCCCAATGGTTCATTAACATTCATTGTGTTTCTTTTCAATAACATTTTCATGTAAAATGAGAATGTTCCGAGTTTCCAAATTGTAAGAACTGACTGAGAGTTGGGAAAGAGAATAATGTGCAAGTGGAACCAAAAACGATCAGCTGATCATTTAATCACAAAGATACGTTGAGCCTGAGGATATACTTTTAAGTTGTTTGGTTAAATTCCCTGTTTTATCTCGATTTCGGAATGTTTAATTTCTAATTTTGTGATGTGTGATGGAACAAGACCTGAGGATGGGCATTTGAATGCTTGAAATATACATCGTTGAGTAAGAACTCAACAAGTTTTCATTAGATCGGGACTAATAAAAAATAGTGATATGCCATTATTCTTCTGATAAAGATCATTGTGTTCAAATTATTACACACGAAATCAAATGCATGAAAGACAAGAGAAAATTATTACCAGAAAGCTGAGTTCAGACAAGCTGCGTCAGGTTTGATCTGTATAAGTCGTGAGCAGAGTGCACTACCATTTGCTCGCAAATGATAAAATTCTACAGAAGAGGCAGACCGTTCTTTTCGTTTGCCTGTATGGATAACAAATTTTCGCTTAAAATGTGCTAAAAATTTAATATTTTCCTGTTGTTGATGAGTGCGGACAACTTCAAGCTTATCCCCGAATAGTGACTTAAACCTCTTTTGCAAACTGTGAAAAGAGAATGATCAGAAGTTAGTGTGGACCAATAACAGATAGAAATTTCAAAATTCAAAGCAAGAACAGATAAACACATTCGAATATGCATAACAAAATGGTGAGGTAAAAGCACGAATTGCAATGGTGCTCACTTCATGGGAAAAAATTACTCGCCGCTTTTATTTGCCATTATGGTGATTTATCTTTTGGCATAGTCAAACTGGCATATGATATATTGTATCGAGTAAGTGAAAAATCTCAGAGAATTTTGATAATAGCCCCTGCGCAAGAGCCTAAGGCATAAAAAAAATTGTAAAACTTGGAAAAATGAATGCAGGATTCTTCTTGGAAAAAAACCTCGCACTCGATACAGAGATGGCTCACTGTTTTTACTATTCATAATTCCAAATCCTGTAGCAAGCTTAACAGTTAAAAGTTACCATGAGATGTAAAATAATCTAAAAAGTACCTGAAAGTAAAGGTTAGCCACCCCATGTTAGAAGCATCTCTTCCTTGCCAGAAATATACCACCATTTGAAAGTCATCTTCTGGTGGGGGTGAATTTTGATTTCTTTCACCGTCCTCTTCATCCTCATCACCGGGAACCCAATATCGACAGAGGAACACATAGCAATCTCCACTGTAAAAGTGGCCTGCAGATGGAAGAAAACAAATTACGAGAGGAATAAGAACTATTCTCACTTAAGCCTTCTTCAACTTGAAACTAGCTCATAGTTGGTGAACTAATTATGATAGGTAAGACTATTTAAAATATTACAATATAAAAACAAGACGTTCCTACGCAATTGCATTGGAGGGCACTTTTCTCAGTGGTAGAAAGAAGTAATATAGTTGTCCATACTTTTTCAGTTAAATAAAACATAAAAGAAAACCATAAAAAAAATTCTTCCAGGGAAGGGATGGAACCTCGACCTCCACAGTTTAAGCCGGACGCGGAGGCACTTGGCCATGCTGGCAGCGCTATCATGATGAGAGAAAATATACACTATTTAACTAAAAAATTGACTCATAGCTCAGAGAATGAGAAGACGCATTTAGATAGTGCATACGCTCATTGGCCACATGCTTCACAGCTGCTTTGAAGCTCTACCTCAGCGTCTTGGCCCAATGAGATAGGCCTTGAGGCAAATTAATATTTGGATTCTCATGAATTAAATCAATCAATCGTTCAATATTAACGTCTGATTTTGGCTTTTGTAGATGTCATGGGTTCTCTAGAGCAATTTTCCACCATGTACACTGCTCATTATTTTTTTCTTTTTATTCTCGAAATTTGAGGTGAGATAATGGCAGCCACAGAGAAAGCCCACTTGGAAAATAAACCAATCACAGAAAAGCACAGCAATACATCACTAAATGAAGAGATCACAAGACTACTCCTAAATTTTTCAAATACTCGGACAATACAGATCCGATATAAATATTTAAGCATGATGAGGACCTTAAAATAATGTAACCCGGTAATAAATCAGTGCACAATTTTTTTGGCACAAAATCCAACATTCTACGCATATTTTTAAAAATAACAGATGACAAACACGAACAAAATTTTACCGCCTGTATTAAAATGGCATCATTTCCCATAAGTACAACACGCTACGTACCATGTATACATGTTACAACGAGGAGTTGAACTGCTGAAAAGGGCTCATCTAGTAAACCAGAAGCGCCCAAAAAGGAGAGAAAGACTGAGCAATCACAGCAACAAAAGGGGAACCTTCTGTTCAGTTAGAAACATACTTATTTAAAATATTAGCTTTGACTGGCAACTCAGCATCTTTCATATTAATCCTGCAATATGTGGGTGAACTAGGTGAGTTTCCATACATATGTTGGTTTTGAACACATTCCACTTGAAAGCAGCGTAGGGACAGTGTTTCATTATTCTAGTTCACTTACTACTAAATATTCACACAGGAAAGTATAACATACCTAATTCATCCTCTGGCAAACGAACAAATCGCTTTCCTTCCAAAACTAGAGCTTCAATTGTCTCCAAGTCTTCATTCCAATCCTCCATCAGTTGAATAGCTTCATTAAATGGCATTGGAGGCTGCCTTGGTGTGAACAATGCTGCTAAATCAGCTTTGGTTTGTTGTTGTTTAGCCCATTTGGTTAAATCAGCTCCAGTTTTCTGAACCGACTCTGCAGTTCGAGTGAAATCTACAGCTATTACTTCATCCCAGCCTACAAATTTGGACTTAAAAATTTGGGACTCGGTGCCTTCTTGAACCCGTGTTACTAGAGCATGATCTGGACGGTGAATCATGTAGAATAGCTCCTGTGAAAGCTTCATGGCAGCAGCTCGAACCAGGCGGGTTGACTTTTTCCCATACCTGGAAAAATTTGAAGAGTTAGCAATTTTAGTACATTTTATTGATATGTAATTCAACGACTTATATGCCAACTCTTTGAGGGATCAGGACAGAGTTGGGCTAATAATGCTGAAAGTTTTTAACGCTCAGTTCTAAGAGGCTCAGAGAGCATTTCAAACAAAACATTTTCCTACACATGGCTTAACCAAACATTAATAATGAGGAATTATTAGTTTTTAGGATATATTTTTATTATGAGTGGCTGAATGACGATGATTTGATAATGTTTGAATAAAATTAAAAAATATTCTCTACACAAAAAACGATTATATTTGGGTCAAAACTCAGCTAAACTTGTAAAGATCCGAATTCTTGAGAAATTTAACTACATTTCATGCCTACTGTTCATTTTTTGGGGGGAGGGGGGAAGGGGGGTGGAATGTGGACAGCAATAAAATAAACTTGTAGACTAAAAATGAAAAGGAATTATTGAAAGAAAAGAACTGGGATGATTAACGGCCTTAAAAAAGAATGATAATGCTGCACTGAATCAATTTGTTATTCAGCTTTATTTCGCAATTTTGTTAGCTTTTCCATTTCTTGGCCTGAGTATCTCTTTTTTACTTCTAGCTCATTCTAACCGTGTCTCAAAAATTTGTAAAAATTGTAAACTGGTAAAAGCGTAAAACACACCTTCCTTAAGGAATCAGACAGAATAGCTTTTGATGATTGAATGGCAATAATTGGGTAAAAAACAGAGGCTAGAAAAAGGTGCTCTATTGATCTTTCGGTATAAAGTAAAGCGAACATCCGAGTCTGAATACCCAGTAAGAAGCACGTTCAAAAGTTGGATGTCTACTTTATCCATCGAAATCATAAGTAACTTCGAATCATGCTATTTCAAAGCAAATAAATAGCTGAGTTGATGAGTGGAACTAAATTGAGAGGATCAAACTAAAATAGAATTACCAGACGAACAAATCGTTGAAACAATCCACCAGATACACATTCCGAGAATTCAGAAGAGTGTGAGCGAGTTTATTATGAGGAACTTCTACTTGTGGCAGCTCTAAATAGCCCATACCCAGCTGCACTTGATATAGACGAGGGGCAAATGGGGTGAAGTCACTGCAAACATGCTCGATGACGGGATCTTCTGGTTTCATGCCATCTTCTTCACCAATGCTTTCCCAAAATTCTTCACTTTCAGCACCAAAAGCTTCAACAAATATTTCAGCTTTATTTTTCCTTTCATTCTTATTGATTTTTTCAGCCATGAGCCTAGGATCAAAAAACCAAGCAACAAAATTGATTATTTACGAGTACGTACTTGCTATTCTTCATTGGTGACAAGTGCCAAGTTTCAAATCATTATTGAATGAACTTGATTAATGAATTCCTACTTGAGCAAAACATTTTACTAAGCAAGGTTATTCGGTAACAATTTAATATTTCGAACACTGAATTCACTTAGACAGAATATTCTTCCAGAAAAGCAAGAAAATCAAAACATTATTTTCACATATGGTGAAGATATGTACTTTGTGCAGGAAGAGACCCAAAAATAAATTGAGAAGCTCAATGATGTCATAAATTAAGGCATAGCCTACAAAGAAAAGGAAGAGAAATACAAAATTCATTTGCGTATAACAAGAACTGATGTTCAATTTAAAAAAGCGTAAGATTCATACCTTGCTTTTGATTTACAGGTATTTTTTGAATGTGATCCATACCACAGGAATATTTTTAAACCTGTATCTAAAACAAATACAAATCGAGGGTCCAATGATTCAGAGGAAATAGCCACAGGTTCCAAATGAATAGCATTTCCCACCGTGTGGACTCTGTACAAGCGAGTTATGTAGGTCTGCAAAAAAAAGAAAGTAAGGAAAAACAGGTGAAGATGATTAGTGAGGTTACAGGAGTTTTTTGGTTTGCACATTAGTCTGTCTAAAGGGGAGGGTAAAGAAAAACAGAAAAACTAAACAGTTGTGTTTTAATAGAAATAGAGGATAGAAATACTTTCACTGAAAATTAGATGCATCATTAGCTAGGTTGGCACTTGCTTACATTCCGTTTGCAAGCAAACACAATGCGGTCATCCAATAAAGATCGGGCATTGACTACCCTCCTGATAGGACAATGGTCAATCCTTGATTGCTATTGGATATTGGCTATTGGATATGGTCACGATCACGTGCGGGCGGGAATGTAAAAAAGTGCCGACTTAGCTCATGACACTTCTATGAGTTCTTTAAAGAATGACAAAAAAACAGATTACATTTTCTGTTTCAATATTCAAACTCATGTGAGCTTCCTTTGATGAAATGGTCATTTTCAGCTAAAGGGAACTTTCACACAGGATAAAACACAAAGAGAACTATTTTCAGACATGCTTAAGTAATCGATTGTTTTCATGAAGTATTTTTTCAAAATTGGACGAAGGGGACGCCCAGTGAGAGGGTGGCGACAAGGGGTGTTAAATGAGATGAGGGAGTGTCAACTCCCTGATGGATTGTGGGAAGACCGAATTTTGTGGCAATTAGGCATCGTAAAGCGCCAGGGAGTGCTATAAAAGCGACTCATGCATGTATTCTTTCAACATTTAATAAGTGTCATTACAGAGAGAAGTATGTTTCTTTACATTTTTAATCCTGGTTAGCAGAAGTGAACCTTTATGACCAGTCAGCAACGCTTTACTCCCAACGACAAGTCAACAGACAAAGAAAAAAAATTAGGGCAAAATTTGTATTATTCCCCATCAAGCGGGAGATATCTTTGTTTAGCTATCAAGGTTACTTATGACACGATGCTTCCCTCAATACTCTTTGATGAAGCTCTTACCATATCTTCAACAGTATAAAATCCACTAGCTGTCCTGCCTCCTTCGATGTAGACAATATTTGTATCAAACAGTGATAAGAATTCTTCCGATTCATCCCCTTGTTCCTCACGTACCGTTCGACACTCGGCACCCAAATAATTTCTTAAATTTACAGCATGAATGGCAGCACAAGCTCTTTTGTCCAACTAAAAGTAAACAAGAAAATCATCAATACTACTACTAATGGGTAAAAGGAAAAAAAAGAAACAAATAGATACTGACAAAATAAAGGGGAGAAACCTTTCGAGATACGAAACTTAAGAACGATGAGCATTTTAAAATTCCTTTGATCTAGCAGGATTTCCATGATTTTTTCATTTTCCAATTCCTTGACTCTTTCTCACATTTGAACAAGACTTCCTGAAAGATGTCATTCTTTTCAATCACACTAATTTTAAGTCAACTTTGGATAAAATTCCCACTTCCAGAGATTCAAATTATGAAAAAGGCACTTAGAAGTTGTTTGCATTCTCTCTAATGGCACCACATGAAGTTGCTGAGACGCCCTAAATTCCCTGATCATCCATGTTTTCCAGACCTATGCTGCCATGCTACGGAAGAACACAGTATGAGCCTTCAGGCATTGCCAAGTTTCCTTTGATAAAATACAAATTTTTAAGTAAGTAATGAATATTTTTCTTCCAATTATTGTTCGCAGTTTAATCAAAAATATCTGAAAATTTCAAGGACAAATATGTATAACTTCCTTCCAAAATAAATTATGGGAAAATTTTGGTGAAAATCCTTTATTGGTGGAAATTTGGCAACTCTCGAATGTTCATGCACAGCGTGTTTCTTTAGCATGACAGTATGAAAACCCTGAACCCCAGTTTACATTTTTCTTCTCATGATTACTTACATTATACCGAATTTTTAAACTATTCAGCTTTAAGAAACTTTTTAAATGCTAAATAGAATCACTCCTTGAATAGTACGAATGGCCTCTTACGTCATCTTGTGCATTGGACAAATAACTAGACAAGAAAGAGGAACTTACCGTTGCTTTTTCACCAATCCAAAAATAAATGCTCCATGACAGATTGCCAGATTCATCAACAAAAGTTCTCAGAACAATATAGCAATCTCCTTCATAGAATTTGCCATGAACAGCTTCTTCGATCTGATTTGGAATGAAATTCTCAATTTCCCAAATTGTGAGTCCTGGAATTTGGCCTGCGTCTTCTTCAAATAATTCCGAGTAGTCTATGGGTGGCTTTTCTAAAGTTTCATCCCACCGCTTTGGTTTTAAAGATTCAACTTTAGCTTCTTCTGCCGTCTTTTGTTTGTTCTTGTCTTTGGCAATATCTTTCATGCCTTTTAAAATTTTAGCCTGGTCTTGATCCGCTTCCTCCATATCTCTTTTGCCACGTCGTAGACGCAACTTTCTGGCAATAGGATCTCTATTGGCACCATTATGTCCGCTTGGCGGTGCTGGAACATTAGCACCCGCTAATCGTAGTTGATTTTGTAAGGAAAAATCAATATTGTAAAACTCCAGGCCAGCACCTTTTTGATTTTCTATGGGTTTTGGAGGCATAATTAAATCTGGGTTATTTTTCAGGTTCAATACTTCTAAATCAGTCAGTAAATGAATGGTGTCGGGTAACGTAATCAATTTGTTGGCATTCAAAATCAACTTCTTCAGAGAGCCACATCGACATAGGCCTTCTGGAATCATTTCTAGACGATTATTTGCTGCGGAAAATATTTCTAAAGAGCATAATTTTCCAATGCCGGAGGGAATTCCTTCAAAATCTAACTGATTGTTGTTCAGGTATAAATGCCTGAGAGAGAGGAGCTTACACAGAGAGGCAGGTAAGGACGTTAACTGGTTGCTCGATAAATTCAATACTTCTAAATTTTGCCAAACTTCTAAAGCTAAGGATAGTTCTTCAATTTTGTTCACAGATAAATTCAACCGCTTCAGGTTGGTTAAAGTATATAGGGCGTCAGGAACTTTGGGCAAGTCATTCTGACTTAGATCAAGATCCGTGAGATTGACTAATGATTCTAGGCTGGGCGGCATATTATTCAAATTCCTTTGAGTATTCCTCATGTGAAGCGTTTCTAGGTTAGTCATTGATGGTAATTGTCTCAACTGGAAGTGGCCTAATGGGTTGTGATTAAGAATAAGCGTTTGTAAATTAGCGAGGCGTCGCATTTGTGGCGGAAGGGTTTCAAGGTTGTTGTTACTTAAATCAAGGAATAAAAGATCAGTTAAATGCATAAATAAAGAGTTAGGTATGGCATTGATAGAATTATTACTCAAATTTAAAACTAGTAAGGCACGGGCATCATCCAACCCGTCAGGTACTTCTTTAAGGTTGTTATGGCTCAGATCTAATGTGGTGAGCTCTTCTAATTTAAAAAGGTCTGCGGGTACACCTGAGCTTTTAATTTTGTTGTGTCTTAAGTTCAAAGTCCGCAGACAAGAGAGTTCAGTCAATTCTCCATAAAGTTTTTCCAAATCATTCCTGATTAGGGATAAATGCTCCTGAAACAAAAAGTAAAAAAAAAATTATTCATTTATTCGACAAAGTGAACAGGAAAATGATCTCAGCAGAAAAAGAAGTAACAACAAATCAATGAAAAAAGAACTGGATGAAAGTTTCCTGTACATACCAGTGGCCCAGAGGGTCCTAACAAAATTTTTCTTGTTTCCAGGTATCACCAGAAAATACTCTGGCAGTTAATTGCTTCCAGTTTAATTTGCAAACTTTGGTGTTTTGCTTTTGGCATCTAGAATGAGGCATTATTACCAAATTTTTTCATACTTATAGAACTTCTCACTGATCATATTGAGGATGCAAAAAACTCAATTTTTCAAACAAATTTAAGTTAAGCTGGTAATTTGTAGTTAATTCCTCAATCAATGGAATAGAGAATTTGCAGGTGTCTGAAATTTGATGATTTTCGTGTTCAAGTGGAAACTACTGAGTGAACTGAACACGAGGATACCCTTGGTTCATGAATTGAACGATTATTGGAGAAGATACGACAAAATGATCTAATCTGCTAAAATACATGTGCTTAAATAGGAAATGCTGCCAGAAGACGTCACTAAGCGGTGCATTTTCTCACTTTTAAATCTATTTTCATATTATTTCCCTTATCAGAAAAAAATTGTAAAAAATAGGTACTGTGAAATCTGCTCACTAGGAACTTTCAGATGAAGAAATAAAAAATTTGCATTCAAATCCTCCATTATGGAATAAAGAAAAGAAGGAATTGTTTTAAGTTAGATAATTGGCTTCTTTTACCATTTCTTTAAGGAGCAATGAGAGTTTTAGCAGTAATTTTTAAAAAACTTATCCAGATAGGAAGGATTATCTCACCAATTTAATCAATTTTCCAAGTTCTTCTGGAATTTGCTCAATGTTGGATCGGTTCAATTTGAGCCATTGGACTCCAGTCATGAGGTGAACTGCATGTGGAAATTTTCCATCCTGGAAAGAAAAAGTAAGAATATGAAATCTGCTCTACAACTCATTGGACACTAAATGAACACATGAATATGGATTAAGATATTGATATTGATCTTATTTTTAAATGTGATTAGACGACCACTTAGGAAGATTAGCTCACAACTGGAGCTTTACTTGACGTTTGCCAATATCTACAGATACCTATCAATATCCAGCATTTTATTTAGCTCTGGGACAGCCCAATACCTGTGGCTTTTGGCTTTGTCCCTGACAGCTCGGTTTGCGGAACTTTCGAGCGAACTTGTTTCTGGAACTTATTACAACTCAGCTATAACTTATTCTGCGAAATCTGGGTTCCTTGAACTAATTCGCCCAATAGTTTCGCAAATAACGTTTAACGTACAAGCCCTTCAGAAAATGAGGGACTTCAAGCAGTTCAGAATGGCAGAGTCAGATAGCATTACGAAGGTGACTTCCATATACATGGGTAAGATGAGTTCTTCACAGGGTGATGTCTAAGGGAGTCCCTCAAGTTAGAGATACCTACGTATCCATTCATCCTTACAGGTATGATAAAACCAATGGTGCTGTAGGTAGAGAATATTTGAAAAAACTAAAGTCCATAACAAACACTAAATCCCTTGGATAGCATAACAAAAAAGGACAAAATTGCTTCAGAGCGAGGTCAACTTAATGAATTAACCTGAACAGGGTGTGCTACCTCAGTATCTAAGACGAAAGAGTTTCATTCTTGCAGAGTACGAGATTAAGGGAAAATTTCGATTGATACTTTGGGATCAGGAGCAAATAGTACAAACATATTCATGATGTAAAGACTTTTCATAGCATAGCTTGTATCAAAGTTGGCTGGACGCTGGCCACTTAATAATAATTCAGGAAACTTGGTTCAATTTCCAGCAGATTGAGAATGTAGCAAGTTAAAATATCTATGAAATCTAAATTAAAATGCCCGAATATTTATGAAAGACAAAAAAGTTTAGGCGAGACAAGAGAAGGAGTATTCCAGGTGCCCCCGCATTCCAATAAACAATTTCATAGGTACTTACACTGAAGTCATTAAAACTGAAATCAACGCCACGGACGAAAGGTAGAACACCAGTATTAGCCATCTTCACGTGGATAAAAATTCGAATAAAGTATACAGTTAAGAATTAAAATAATTAAAATTAAATAGGTTACTTTGTTTTGAATTTTGATACTGTGATGTGATTGATAAACATTCTTTCCAGCAGCGGGGTGAGTCTGTCGAACCAATCAGAGACGAGGAACATTCAATAGACCGTATTCGATAACGGTTCGATGTATCGTTTGGTTCAAAACAATGGAACATAACCTCAAACTAAACTAAGAGGATTTAAGTTGGAAAAACTGAAAATGAGAAAATTCCTAACAATTTCACATAACGTTGGCATTTGGTACGCAAAAGAATAAAAAATCTGTTACAAAAGACCCGTTCCCTCAGATTTCTGAATTTACTTTTGAGGCTATGTTTATGTTTTGAACCAATCGATATCGATACAATCTCATCCGCTTGATGTATCGAATACGATCTATACCTGAAAGCTCGTTTTGAGGTTAGAAAACATCTGGTTGCACCGTTAGCTTTATTATTCTATGGTCTGGTTCATAGAGTACAATATGGTCTGGTTGTGGTTGTACCAGAGACAAGGTTGTACTTACTCTTTTTACATGGCTCTCGGGAAAAACTTAAAAAAAGCCATTTTAATTCCTGAAAGTAAACTTAAACGGAGAAAGAATTTTTCCCTAAAACTTCAAGTCTAAGGGCTTGAATAGAGTACCTGTATAGGGAGAGTAGCGACAGATCTGAAACTCCGAAAGTCCATCAGGCCTTCACCGATGCCTCCGCGAATAAAGTTAGGGCCCAAAAGGGCAGCCAACCTATGAATTTCGAATGTCCAGAGCGATTTACAAATACAATTGTTACGAACCGTCGTTTAGAAAGCATGTATTTGGTTTACTTTTTGCATAAATTTACTTATTTTTGCGAAAGAACGCTCATTTATGTACATTCTTAGCCATCTTGGTTAGAATTGAAATCTGTAGGCTGGCAGTGAAATTTTGTGTGTTAGAAGTTGCTCAGAAGGGTGGCTGCACTTTTGGGCCCTAAGCTCTCCATGAACCGATCTGTCGCTACTCTCCCTATACAGGTACTCTAGGCTTGAATACAGTAAATTTCGGCGGCTGAATCTTTTTCTGGGTGGAAAAAAAATTTTCAATAGTGCGGAAGTGGAACTTTTGGACGAAAAGTGGTCGACATATATTTTTACGAATGTTTAGCCTGAAGTAATTTTTTTACAAAAATTATGAATGATGATGAGTACATCAAACTCCTAGATACGTGTCATCCCGGGGAAAATTTGCTCTGTTGCCACAGTTACAAGAAACTGCATCCATCAAGGGATTGAGGGGGGGAGGGGGGGGTTAGGTATCCACTTGAATCCCTTGTATCCCCTGTTCCAACGCATCCAAACGCGAAATGGGCCCTCGCGTGCGGACACTTTCAGCTTTATTCCAGGGTCTACAAAGTATCAACCTTTTGGGAAGGATGGACTGAAGTGGACTATAGTCTGTTTCACGTAAGCTGAGACTTTTTATTCGGCATTAAAATCCGTAAATGGCAACGCATCAGTCTTGGACTCGGGTGACCGTACCGCTCGCCGGACACCCTCTTTTGTTCAGCGACCTTGGGCCGGCAACCCATCCATTGTAAGGGTAGGAACAATAGGCACCCTTCACTCCTCCTTAATGGGCCCTAGTACCTGGACCAAAATTTTTTTCTCGCTGAAAAATTCATCTTTTGGCGTGAAAATTTAGTTCCAGCGTGAAATTATGATAAAAACGCACTAAAATTCAGTCCAATTATCTTAAGTTTGAGCTGATGTACGGCATTTGCGTATGGCCGCGATTCGCCGCGAAATGCCGTATTTCAGCTCAAACTTAAGATAATTGGACTGAATTTTAATGCGTTTTTATCATAATTTCACGCTGGAACTAAATTTTCACGCCAAAAGATGAATTTTTCAGCGAGAAAAAAATTTTGGTCCGAGTACTAGGGCCCATTAAGGAGGAGTGAAGAGTGCCTATTGTTCCTACCCTTACAATGGATGGGTTGCCGGCCTAAGGTCGCTGAACAAAAGAGGGTGTCCGGCGAGCGGCACGGTCACCCGAGTCCAAGACTGATGCGTTGCCATTTACGGATTTTAATGCCGAATAAAAAGTCTCAGCTTACGTGAAACAAACTATAAATTAATTTTGCAATTAGGGGCTACAATTTTTGGCCCAGTTTAAAAAAGAACTGGGCCAAAACTGTTTTACCTAACATTAGTTTTCCTATAAACATATATTTTTCTTCTGAGTGATGAGTCAGCAATTTCCATTTCTACTTGCAAAATGTAGTCCAAATGTGTGTCTGGCGTAGTGGTTCCGTAAAATTAAAACCATAGTGCTTTTGCAAAATTTGCTTGGTATGCATCTCGATGTTTGCTAATTTCTGATGGGTATATAAAAATACATCACATTCTATCTCTGAACATCCTGACCCCAGGGACCCAGTATCCCCCCTTGTGGTGGGCCTGCCTTCATGCACGCTGGGCTTGTCGATTTCCTTTGACATTTTTGCAGTGGTGAATGCATAGCTGAAGTGCGCTCCAGCTAGAATTGTATTTAGCAAATGGGTGGTTTTTCTACGAAGATTAAAAATAAACAAGTGTCACGGAATATAACAAAATAATATGAACTATGCAAAACGATAATCCGGGTATCGGAACTTGGCTGATCTGAAAACGCCTTCAAATACGGTGTGATACCTCACGCATTCCGGAGAGTTCAAATAGTTGTATCATTGCGCCGTAAGAATGTGACGGAGGATTTAAATGGAGATAGCCTCCATGCACGCTGGGCTTGTCGATTTCCTCTGAAATTTTTGCAGTGGTGAATGCATAGCTGAAGTGCGCTTCAGCAAGAATTGTATTTACAAATGGGTGGTTTTTCTAGGAGGATTAAAAATAAACGAGTGGTACGGAATATAACAGAAGAATATGAACCATGCAAAACGATAAACCGGGTATCGGAACTTGGCTGATTTGAAAACGCCTTCAAATGCGGCGTGATACCTCACGCATTCCGGAGAGTTCAAATAGTTGTATCATTGCGCCTTAGAAATGCGACGGAAGATTGCAATTGAAATAGCCTTCATGCACGCTAGCCTTTTCGATTTCCGTTAACATTTTTGCAGTCATGAACTATGCAAAGCAATTATTCCGATAACGGAACTTGACTGTTTTGAAAACGCCTTCAAATGCGGTGTGATACCTCACGCATTCCGGAGAGTTCAAATAGTTGTATCATCGCGCCGTATGAATGTGACGGAAGATTTAAATGGAAATAGCCTTCATGCAGGCTCGCCAGGTCCGGGCCCCAAGCACGGAGGGAGGGGGTCCGAGGGGCATCCCCCGAGAAATTTTAGAATTTATACGACTAATCGGACGCATTTTGAAGCTTCCATAAAGAATTTTTCCATCAATTTCTGCGGAATAATTTTTTTTTTCTACTTTCAACACTAAATACTTGCGAATTGTTGCATTCAAAACATCTGGAAAATGTTTATTNGGGGGGGGGGGGGGCACATGATACTATTTTCAGTTCTATGAAGGCCAGGCCCCCCTGGACTCCCCCTTCGTTTGTCTATGGTAAACGAGTTGAGCCATGAGCCATTGAAGTCGAGGATGCCCAGACTGGAGACTCTTAGCATCTGACGACGGAAGAAAATGAAACGCAGTTACTAAAAATATCCCTCTGTAATGAAAATCTTGAAAATAGATAGAAATTTTCCAAGGAGTATACTTCTTTGAAAATTTAAGAAGAATCCTACAGTGCCCCAGCGTGTTTCTGAAAATCTATTCACCTTTTGCGAAATTTTTAGGGTAAATTTTTTACTTTTTCTTACGAAACAAGGGTTGCATGTGAATTCGTAGTGGTTTTTCACGGGTAACACGGGCCCCCTCCGGAGCCCGGGCCCCGATACCAGGGACCTAGTATCCCCCCCCCCCCTTGTGGCGGGCCTGCGTATTACATCGCTGTAATTCGTACCCTGTTGCCTAGGTCAATGATTTGCCTTCCATTGGCCGGCTATGCAATATGACTGTCGTGACGAACGAATAGTGGTATCAGAATTTCGCATTGAGATTACGCAGTGGGTTGAAGGCGCTCCTCTGTATCGTATCTGAGTGGCCCTGTACAACGATGTTGACCAGAAATGTTCAGAATTTTGGAGTCTTCAATCGAGCCGTAATCTTGAACAATGCTCGAAGAAGACTATTTTACGTTCCAAGATTTTTTTTTCTATAAATCTTATTTCAATAAAGAGAGTCCAAACGCTCGATTCAGATTGTGGTTTTTAAGTCTTCTTGCTTTCCGCCCGCTCGTTCATTGCCAGTTCTTCTTCTTGTTTCGGTATGGAGTACCTAGCGATGTGCTTACCGAGTACTTTAACCATTTTTTTGCGATTCCCCGAGACAACTTTGTTCTTGTTATTGTGCCGCACATTGAGGAGGGCAAGGTTAATTATTTTTTGACTATGGGGGTTTCAAGTTTTATGCGAGAAAATCGCGGAGTTCTACGGTGTCACCGTTTTCTCCCCGGTGTGAGTGCGAGGGTGGAGTGCCTCCTCGTAACTTCTTTCGGGTCACCGCTTTTTGAGGCAATTTTCGTGGGGGACGACGCCTACCAGGATCCTGTCTTTCAAGACAGAATGATGGAACACTTCGGTTTATAGTATGTACATCATTTTGATCTAAGGATTAGTGCAGTATTTGGTTTTTATAGTTTCCTTCAAT